CTTCCCAAAATTACTTCAACGGAAGGTTTCCAGATGGATATGCGGAGCAAATCCATCTGGCGGAGTCAGGTTAGTTAAGATGCCCCTCAGAGATTGTTTTTTGGGTCAAACTTAGGCTACTTCTGTTTCCCTGTCATATATTGCATGTGTTCCTTTTCACTCAAAGTCAGTGGATTGTTTAGTTAGTGTCAAAATCTTATACTGAGGTCCAGTATGCACAAAATAAGTTGTTCAATGTGAGACAAGGTATTCAGAGGTAAATGATGAGCAACTTCCTGCCTATAAGTCAAGTTTAGTGAAGGAACCATGATTTGGTCAACTTAAACAGCATAATTCCAACTTTTTCTGTATAAATTCATTTGTTTTAAGGAACTGCATGATATCAAAGCCATGTAAATACAATTCAATAATCATGTTATTTCCCCTGATAACAGATCCAAAGAATGTGGGGATCTATTTTGCTGGAAATGTGAAGAAAGCCCTGGAGATGTGGAAGAAGGGAAATGAAGAGTACCTGTACTTTGTGGAGGCTGAAGTGGTGACAGGAAAATCAGCCTCTGGTTACCCAGGAAACCCAATGCCTCGTCCAGCTGAAAAAGAGCCTAAATTTATCCATGACAGTGTGGATGCAGGCCCCGATGTATCCGTTATCCTCAGTGGGTATCAAGCTTTACCGATGTACATCATTATCTGTAAAATGGATCCAATAATTCACAACAGGAGGCAGGACTGTACGATCCGTGACTCTCATCGTCAGAATTACCCATATGCAGTTTAACCTGATAAATTTTAGTTATCAGGTAAAACTGTTCACTGGAGAGTTTAATCAGTGGCTTCATGTGTTTCACAGACTACAAAATAAGAAAAACAGAGAGAGCGTCGTTTGGAGTCTTTGTGTCACATTCCTAATTATCTGATTGGTTCTAACATGATGAGACTGACCCTGTTAATCCCGCCTTTTAAAATCAAGCTGTACCAGCACTTTAGCAGACTGATACGATGCATACACAACAAATCAGTCTACATTTGTTCACTGTTAAATATAAGAATCAGATTTCATAAACGAATAATCAAACAGAACCTCCAGCAAAATATCCCCAGTTTTAACAGATATATGATAGTTTATGCAATTTCACCTTTATCTATGTTAAAATAAGACAAATAAAAAAAAACTTAATTAACTCTAGTTATAGAATCAAATGGAGTTAAACTCAGATATAGAGAAAAGAGATAAGACATAAATCATATTGCACATTTGTTTATAATCATTTAACACTAATAAGTATTACTGTCATATATTAATATATTTTATAGGGGTGGACTGATGAATCTTTGAACATTATAGCATGACGATTTATAAATGATCAACTCTTCTTAGGGCAAGGTAAGGTTATTTGTTTGAACATCACAGTAACAGGAGAACCACAGTCTGTTTTTATAGATGTTATAGTGAAACTGGAGTCCAGACTTTGACCATTTTATACCCTCCCTTTTCTCACTCCTGCCTGTGGCAGCAAATTTCCACTGAGACTTTTTCTCCCTAGGAAAGACACTTTGATTGGATGAATGGAATTGAAGTGATTGAAAATTTTAGAATAAGAGCTCATCTACAGAATTAGAGGGAACAGCAGAGGTAGAGGAGTAACTGTAAGGTTTTAGTAGCTCTATCACTGAAGATGCATTTTATTTGGCTAACTGAGTAACTGGAAATTATGCTTTCAAATAAAGCAGAAAAATGCTCAAATAGAGCAACAGTTAGACACTTTATGAA